AGCATTTGATCGCTATGAGAAATTCGATGTTGGGGGCTCGCCACTTCGGAGGAAAGCAAGTTGATTCTCGTACATGTGCGGCGCTAGGTTGGACCTTTGTGAGGCAACACAATCATTTTAAGGCTGTCAACGCCTCCGATCAAACATTCGGACATTTCGGCGATTTGATTCACGGCCAGGATGGTCGTTGGATGTTTCGTTCCAGTCGGAGTGTCTTAGTCGGCACTGCTGTCTTTTGGACATCGTGGGCACGTGATGCATAAGTGACTGTTGTTGCCTCCTCACCCCCGGATGTCTTCGCTTGTTTTCTTCCGGCTACAGAGTGAATAAGATCAATCGCTTGCCCACATTCTGAGTGTTGCACTCCGCCGTGGACCGTACGTTTGAAAACTAAACTGTCCGGATGCTAGGGTTTGCAGTCTCAAGTGGCTAATGCATTGCAGCGCTCTGTGCATCGTTTCGTCTTGAGTGCCGAACTTTTGCTCAGTCCCATGTCAACATGACAACCATAGAGCGTAGCCCTTTTGATGTAGATGCGGATGGTTTCAATTTTCAGTCACTGGATGAGTTGGCTGCATATCTATTTCGTATTCTTGATGGTATTCCTCGACGGATGTGGTTGAGTTACAGTCGAAAGAAGGTGCGATCTACAGACCAAGCACATGCAGATCAGATATTGCTTGGCTTGTATTCTGGCGTGCAGTCTCGAGGAAGACTGCAGTTTACAAAGAACACATTCCGGTTCCCTGGCCTTACTAAGTTGATTGTCCGAATGCTACATTATGCTTCCCAATTCTCGGATCTGGCAGTTACCAGTATACAGATCAATCGCAATGTCCGGACTATCCCACACAAAGATTCAAACAACCATGGCCCAAGTATTGGCTGGGCCATTGGAGACTGGACAGGTGGAGAATTATTTGTCGTGGATGACCGAGGTCGCTTTACATATACAGTTGATGATTTCAATTGCAATGTTGCATCGCATGGTGCTCACTTGAAAGGCAGACTCTTGGATGTCAGACAACCTTGCTGCTTTGATGGAAATGTGATTCATGCCACCATGCCTTTCACTGGAACTCGCATCATGATGGTTCTTTTCTGTGTCAAGCAACATGTTCCCGTTTCACCCCATGCCTCATGTCTTTCCTTTGCGCTTTTTCTTGGTCTTCGTGTTCCTGTCCGTTCCTCTCTTTCTTGTCTGTTCCTCTCTTTCCTTGTCTGTTCCCTCTGGTCCTCTCTTCTCTTCTCCTCTTTTGTCTTTGTCTGCCGTTCCTTTCTCCTCGCCTGGTCGTTCCTTGTCTTCGTCGGTTCCTTCTCCTTCTTCCTCTTTTCCTCTTCTGTCTGGTCCTCCTCGTCCGTCTGCTCGTCCTCCGCTGTTGTCTCTCTCTCCTGCCTCCTCGGTTGCCTCCCTCGTGTCTTCGTCGGTTTCTTTTGGTCCTCTCCTTGTGTCCTCTGTTCCCTCCTGCTCCTCCTCTCTGCGGTCTTGGTCTTGCTCCTCCTTTCCTGGGTCTTCTTGCTCTTCCTTTGTTGTTTCTTTCTCTGATTGTAATGCCGACGATTCCGACGAGCAATGTCAGAGTGACATGTCACTGGACGCATAAAAAAGACTGTCTTAGGTTCGCTTCGTGCACTCGCATCGTATGTCTCTCACTCTCTTGGCATTGGGTGGCTTTCATGTTTTCAGGCAATTTTGCTGCATGTGCTCAAGAAGTATGCTCCACCACTCGATAGACCATGACCCGTTGCCAGTTTCGTGATGTTTGGATGGAGGATGCGCCCCGATTCTGCATATTCTCTTTTCTTATGGTACGTAGCAGTGTGCATGTCAGCACACAGAGATGTGACAATCCCGATTCTTGCCGAAGCCAGCAGCACATCCAGTGGCAGCGATGGTTGATACATGGGTTGGGACGATGTTTTCAAGCACACAATTACCATGGACTGTCCAATGACTCTGCTACTTTCAATTTTACACATCTTCTTCCACGATGCAGTGAGTCTTTCCTGTGCCTGTCAGTGCAGTGTCGTACTCTGACATTGCGACATATCAAGTTTCTGATGCGATTACGAGTTTGCCATGGTTCTCGATTGAAGCCTTCTTGTACATACCAGCTCATGTGTATCGAGACATGTTGGTGCCAACTTCACCAAGTTACGTTCTCGGCGTGCGAATTTCCTGTCGCGCATGTTAGAGTCATATAGGCGGCTTTGAGGTTAAAAAAGTGTCCGCCAATGTTCTGTCCATTTGTGTGCATCAGTTTGCAAAAATGTGAGTCTTGGCAGACGTTGGTTCAAGTACTTATGCACCGCTGTTAACGTATCAATGTCTGGCTCTTTGCTGAGCTGCAATGACATAATCAGCAGTCTGGATGGAGATCAAGTCACGGCTCTTTTTCAGATCTTGGGAGATCGCCGCCAGAGGGCAGTCTTTCTTTCTCATCTTCGACGCCGGATTCAGAACGATGCAGATGCCCTTGTTGCACAACATCTTGGCGCTCCCTCCCACTCTGTCTCTGTGTCTTCTGTGCCTTCGTTGTCTTCTTTTCTTGCCCCCTCTCCTTCTCCTTCTCCCCTCCCTCCTCCTCCTCCTCCTCCCCCTCCTGCTTTTCCTCCTCCCCTTCCTGTGTCCTTCTCTGCTTCTGGCCGTTTTCCTTTCTCTCCGTCTCCCTCTCATCCAGATGCCTCTCTTGGAGCTGTTTCGAGTGACGCTGCACCGACAGTCATGGATGGATCGACTCTTTCGGATCCTCAACAGCGTGGTGCATTGCCCCGTCGACGGCAACAGACTGCTCCTGCTGCTCGGAGAAGCAGATCCATGAGTGAATCGGAGGTCCGAGAGAGATCCCGTTCGAGATCTAGGTCAAGATCAAGCACCACTGTTTCACTTGGAGGCTCTCGTCGTATCAGGTAAGCCGGACGTATGAGGAAGACAAAACTGTTGTCCCGAACTTGCTTGCAACTTCTGAGTCGCAGACATGTGTTGTGCATCCTAGCAGCATCACACTTCGAAGTTGCTTACGGCTCAATTTGTAAGATGAAGCGAACAGCAAGTATGGCGGCCCTTCCGGCCCCAGCTCCGATGGTCAGGATTCCAGTTGTTATACCTCCGGATATATGCTCTGGCGGACGTGAGATGGGTTTCTGGCTCTCTTTGCCTACAGATTCTACGATTGATGACCTGAAGAGGAAGGTTTGCGATGAGCTTGCGAACCGTACGGGGATTCCACCCCGTTTGAACGCCTTCCAATTAAGGCAATTTGGTCAACATTTACCATTCACATCTTCGATTTCTCGAGTTGCTGCCTTTCCGCATACTACGCAGGCCGTTCACTTTGTGAGAACCTGGCCACACGAATCATCGTGGTGAACTTGAGCAGTGTGCTGATCAAAGAAATAAATGCTGTATTGCGGTTTGTTATGCGAGCTCATGAGTTTTTGTTGCTTTTGCAATCAACAAGTTGTCCTTCTTTTACTGCAGGATGTGAGCCCGAATGTTTTCGTAGTGCCTTCTGAAGGTTGTAGACATTTCCTTGACGCCATGTGGGAACTTACTGTTCTGACCGAGAAAGTGCTGACTTTCATCAGCACCCGACGCCATATTATTTTCTTCTTCACCTTTCCACCATTAGATCCACTTGAGACTCTGGATGTTACTCTTCGCAGACATGGATTCCATACGATGTATGATCTTGAACAGTTTGTTACACAATGCAGAACAGAAGGTATGGATCTTCGTGCTGAAGTATGGGAGTTCTTTATGCAAGGACCCAGCGTGTACACGCCGATTACGTGTGAAGCTCCCGCATTACCTCATATTGTGGTGTTTGCGTCCGTATGCAAAGAATGGTATTACACTATTATCCGATTGGTTGGCGATCGCACATTCTTCAATATTCAGCAGCTTTGGCGTCTTGCCCAAGTGCGCCATGCAAATGTGGAATGGATTCACCACTCCAATGAAGATCGAGTGCGTATTGGATCGGCTTTCATCGATGATCTTAATGTGCGCCGCATTGTTCACCCACTGTTAAGTGTAGATACGACCTGGACTTGAGTGGATCACGCCACATGAGAATAAATGGTGTCCTTTGTCATGCGAGTCTTGACATGTGGCCCTAGGTATTGTCTTCTCTCGTGCTGATGTGCAGTGCTCAAGCCTATTGAAGTCTCAGTGTGTAATCATGTCGTCCAGTGGTCGTCGTACTCTTCGTTATGAACCAGGGTCGAGGCGAGCCAGCGATGACAATTTGGAGGATATTGTGCAAACATCAGCTGCCGATGCCCTCGATGCTCTTCGCTCTAATGACATCCACCCACAAGACCTTATTCGGTTGATGCTTCGTGTTGTCGAAATCCTACGTGATTCTTCGGATTTTCAACAAAGGATGTCACGATGCTCAGGATTGTGCTCTCATACGAACTGTGGCCGGGTATGTGCTCGAGCAGACGAAGGTCACAATCATTGCCGATGCTATTACCACCAGGTTATTGACCGCAGTGAGAGAGCCATCAAGAAGCGTAGACGTGAATAGGCTTGCTGCTATCACGATGATTGGGAACAGTCGCAAAAGACGTGCACCTTGAAGCTTCTGTGCCCCTTCGGGGGCCTGTTTGTGTTATTCTGCTGTACATGCGACAAACCTGCATTCACTTGTCCATTTTTCTTTGGTTTTTCTGTTTGCAAACCTTTGTAGGTACATGCTTTGACCCAACGGTTGCAGATGGGATATCCGACTTGGCCAGTCGGACGTACCTGCAAAAAGCTGGGCCCCTGAGCCAGCAAGATTGGCGAAATGGATTTCTGTTTTCTGAGGCAGGTTTTAGGTGTGTCCACCGATTGTTTTCTTTTAACAGTCATGTTCATGAGGGCATATGCATTCGCTGTCTGCACTTTTGCCGCAATCTGACAAGTACACTCAGCACAGAAGTCATCTACAGAAGGCAGGCGGGTCAGTGGAAGCCTTTCCAGTTGTGTCCCTTGCCGCTCCTTGCGCCAGGCACGGAGCCCCTTCTTCGCTGCAGGCTACTGGATCCAGTCACTTCTGAAGGCTCGAACTTTCCATCACCTTCACACAGTGCGCGACACCACTCGTTTTGCCTGATTTAGGAAGAAGAGCCTCCGGTCCTGCTGAAGCCCTCCGATGCACCTGTGATGCAAGTCTCGGCTTGTTGGACATTGACCCAAAGACAGGCAGGCCAAATTGTGTTTCTGTGTCACCACGATGCAGCCAAGGTTTATCACGTTTTTGCCAGGGTCTCAGCTTGCATCCATGTCTTGAGAGCATGCGAGGCAACCCCTTTGACCTGTGTCTGCCCGTCTGCCCGGCAGCCTCTGCCGCGAGGTGCAGCCTTGTTACGATCGGAAAATCGAAGCCGCTCGACCGTCTTTTGAAGTGCCCGGGTGCTCAGACTCAGAAGCAGGCAGCAGGCAAGTGCATGCAGGCCTCAGGCCTCAGGCACCGCTAACCCCAGGCCCGGTGTCTCGGGTGTCAAAGAGGCCGCGGTGAGGGGTTTTGCGCATTTTCACTGTCGCGGTGATCTTCTGTGCCAGGTGGACACCGTGCTGACCGCCTCTGAACTGCCCGCTGGCAATATATGATCACTGATGTTACAAAACTTCTTTCAATAGGTATGCAAAGAGATGTTCGTGTGAGGATCAGATTTCCCCACCTTGTAGTCTAAGTGCAGTCGGGGTCAGCCCCGCAAACCCGAGGGCAATGACACAGCAGTACAGACATGTGTCGACGAGAACGAGACATGACCCACGAGCATCACACGAATGTGATTGCGAATCCTGGAAACGAGGATGTCATTGCTTCGGAACGCCGGCGATGGATGCTGTGGGTCCTGCGGCGTCCATGCCTGCGAGGCTTGGTGACCACCGTGAGGAGACACAAACCGTGAGAGTCTGAGTGATCCTTTTGCCCAGAAGACGGAGCTGTCGAAGATCCCGCCGTGCCCGTTGGGAAGCGAGGCTCCTGTTGGAGAGAGTCAGGTATGAGTCCGGGTAATGCTGCAATGCTTCATGCGCAAAGGCTCCCTCCCCGTAAGACCGTCAAATTTGCCTATTCTTGGTTGCCATCAGAATCAGGGTCAATGAAATAGCCTTCTCGGTCTCCAGCAGAAGCCTCAGAAGCCTGCCCGCAGGTTCTGACAGATGTCTTCCTCGGAAGCTTAGAGGCTGGTGCTGTCTAGCCTGTCAGTGGATGAGTCTGATGGAGCATAGCTCAGGCTAGAGTGTCGCCGCTCATTTGTGCGGTGCGCAGCAATGCTGGGCAGCGGCCCTAAGACGGGCTTTCCTCACTTGCGGCAACGCCAACTCAGATCCCAGACGTACTGCGCTGCTCGAGGTCGGGCGGCTTCCTAGAACACGTCTTCCGCGAGGCTCTGCACGAGCAGCATGGAGTTCAGCCTAGAGGGGCACAAGTGCCGAAGTGTGCGAGCGTTCGTGTGAGAGTGAGTGTGTGAGGCTGCTCGCGAACTGTGACTGGGATGCAAATGGATGTACCCTGTTTCCGTTCTTGCATCGTACACCCCCGTTGACTTCGCTCCTGCTTTCTTTGCTTATATACCTTCGCAGGTTTCACTTGGACTTGCCTTCAGCGCCCCTCGCTCTGCAGACAAAGCAGAACGAGGACATGCGCGAGGCATCCGGTGGCCTGTTTAGTCCGGCTTGAGATGATGCCGGAGAGACTTCGTGCATGTGCTGATAATCTGATAAGGCGGAGTTTGCATTCCAGTGCCGTTTCGGCTTGAGCTGGGCCTGTGACAGCCATGGCAGCTGCGGCGGCGCAGGGAGAGCCGACCGCGATCGCCAGCAGGCTTAGAAGGCGCGGTGACGTGTGCTAGTCTGCGCCATGCGCTCATGTGGAGTACTCCGAGGCTTTGCAAGACCGTTGTGGCCGCTGCCTGCCTGGCAGTGGCCTGTTTACTGCAGGGCTGCGAGGACATCTACCGAGCCGTGGCAAAGCAATGTTCTTCAGCGCATTTCTGCATGGAGTATAGAACGGCATCTTCTGTTTGCATGTCGCGCATTCTCGCGCCCAAAACTTGCCATGCCTCCGCCCGGATGCTTGTTAAGGAGACACATGTGTCTGGCACAGTGACCTCAACATCAAGGGCTGCAGCTACTACGGATACCGTGGGTGCGGCCGTTGTAATTGCGATGGGGACTACTTATCGTCAGATGTTTGCGCACGTTTCTGTTCGCTTGGCTTGTCTAGCATGCTGCGTTGAGAAATCACCCAAACAGAGAGAGAGAGAGAGAGAGAGAGAGAGAATAGGTTAGTGTAAAGGGCTGGGGGATACAACGGATCCGGCCACGCATCTTTCCAACGAGGGGGGGTCTCACAACACAGACTGAGACCAGTGCGCGCGCGCAGGAGGGGTCCGCTCCTCCTTGGCTGAGTGCAAGCGAGAGAGAGAGAGAGAGAGAGAGTAGCCATTTTGGCTCAAGTATCGCACCTTTGCTTGGGGGCTTGTGCTGCCTCCTTGCATCGGGGGGGAGCTGGGGGGTTAACCTGGACTGTTGCCCCAGGGGAGCCTTCCCAGTTGCCCCAGCGGTGCTTGAGTCGCATATCCGACGCCACTGTGCTTAAGAGGCCCTTCTTAGGACTCCAGGAACGGAGCCATACCCGTCAACGGCAAGTTCGAACTTCTACTTCGAGATCCGTGACCTCTAAACTGCAAGGTCTTCACCGTGTGCACTCTCAAGCAGGGGGGGACAGTCCTCTCCACCACTGTCGTCCTTCAGTTGCCGGCCGAGCTTCGCCTACAGAACCACCTCGCTGGCCGGGGGAGTTTGTCGACCGGACGTTCGTGACTTTGGGCAAGCACGGGGACCTAGTGAAGAACAAACTACGGAAGGCCAAAAGAGCGCGGGGGAAAGACGCGCCACCAGCTAGCAGCACAATGCCGGACCCAGACACAGGACGACACGTAGCCCAGGACGATCAGTTGGACGAAGGGGAGACCAGGGTCAACTACGACAGACCGTCAAGCTCCAAGACAGCGGGGGAAAAGCACAAGAGAGCCAGCAGGCCAAGGCGACAACAGGAGTGAACCACAGACATAAAGAGGACCTCGGTGCAAAAGGCCCGGACGGAAAAAAGAGCCGGCGGCCAGTGAGGGGAAGTACAGTCGGTGACCTTTTCGCAAGTAGGTGGACTCCCACCCTGTACTCGTTTCTGCACTGTGTCTTTTGTTCCTTGGTTGTTGTTCAAAAAAGGGGAGATCCCACTGCAACCTTTCTTCAAGCTGTTCCGGTGTAGTTGCGGCCGTAAGCCGTAAACCTCATAAGGGGAACCATGTACATTCCGTCAATAAATCCGTGCATGTTTAAACATTCCTGTGTTTCCGTGAGCATGTTGCGAGGCGTGAACTCTTTAAGCGGGCCTCTGGGCTCTTCTCGGGCAAAACACCTTCACTCAACTGGGCTGGACAGCCCTCAATCCCAGTTTCTTTTCAACGCGCCTCGTACATCTCCTTCTAGATGAATTCGGAGGACAGGAGGCTTTGATTCATTTCGTTCATTCCAGGGTATTTCAAGGTATTCCTGCTCGAAGAAGTGGGGGCATGCAAGTTTTTCCTCCTGACTCCTAGGGCTGACCGGCGCTGTTGTGCAAGCACAGTTGGTGGATGTAGGCTTGGCTTGCTTGGCTTGTTTTCGAAAGCACGTCAGCGGGGGATTCAGCAAACTTTACTCCTCATACAGACAGAGCCCCGAGGAGAAAATCTCTGCGGGGAAGGGACACCCCGCCAATGGTCCGCGGGAGTGCGCTCGCGCACGGAGGGGTAGCCGGGACGCTGCTGCCCCTTCACGCCCCGTAGAAAGAGAGAGAGAGAAAGAGCGAGAGTCGGGATGAGCGCGGGGAAGAATTATAGTACTGCAGCCTTCCAAACTGCTAGCCAGTTGAATCTTGAAGAATTGTAAAAAGTCAACGGCAATCTTGTACAAGCAGGGGGATGGACATCTTCCACTTTTCGGGAGCCTTTATATGTTGTTGGGTTTCGTTGTACACAGGGGAAGATTTCCGAGCCTTTTGGAAGCAAGCCGTAGTGCGAGTGCTGAGACTCATGTCGTCGTTATCGTATCGAATGCTGCAGCGCCAAAACATGACTTCAAGCACTCATTTTTCACTCCCCGAAATGCCCGTCTAAAACAGATGGGTGGGCCAATCGGCCCGGGGACGCTGACCCGTCCCCAAGCCCAGGAGAGAGAGAGAGAGAGAGAGAGAGAGAGAGAGAGAGAGAGAAAAAAACAGAGAGAGAGAGAGAGCGGGAGAAACCTGTGCCGCTGTGGAGGTGTGTCCAACACTGCCACTACTGCATCACCCCGAGCGGGCCGGATGAGTGCGCGCAGTTGAAGTGCGCCTCCTTCTGTGCCGCTCGTGAGGGCGCAGACTGCATGAGGACCGATGAGACGGACCTAACTCTGATTCTACACTACCTTTAAGCTTTGACCTGTCAGCGACAATTTCGAAGGAACTATGCGGCTTTGTGCAACATTGCGCTGGAGGAGGGGTTTAAGGCAGGATTGGATCTGAGGAGGAGGGGTTGTCTACTCCGGAACGTCGCCTATCGTGAGGCCAACACCTCGACCGGCTCCACGTACTACACCTGCGACGTGCAGTGCGGCTTGCCACTGTAAAGGCTGGGGGATCCTGGCGTGGCGCGAAGAGCAGGTCTCCCATGCTGAAGGTGTTTCCAGTGCTACCAAGTATCAAGCAACATAAGTAACATGTGCTTGCATGTGCAAGCGCTCAGGTAGCAGTGCTAGGGCGGCCACTGTGGCTTTGCCACTGGCCCTGCGACTGGGATGAATTCTTATGCGCTTGGGACCTAGCCGCCTAGCCTCCGCGCCCGCTTCCAAGGACCCTCGCTGCCAGCTCGGGGATGCCGAAGCGACTCTTACTCCTTGGAGGACCGGCAGACTCACAAGAAAGCGCAGGCCGAAGGGGCCGAGCGGCCCGTGCTCCTGAGAGGAGTCTTGGCTTGGATGACGTCTCTCCAGGGCTGCGGCTGCCAACCGCCACAGCCGCAGCTGTCCTGGCGACCGGAAGCTTCCGTTTTTGACGAGAGGAGCGCAGTAGGGAAGATGCCTTCACCACCGCAGAGATCGGCGGATTGGCAGGACCGGCCGCGTCGTGGATGGTATCTGGCGTGGCAACCCGTCCTGGGTCTGGTGGCCCGACTTGGAGTCCGAGGATCAAGGGGAAAGCGGCGTGGGCAGAGCTTTGTGAGCCTGTCTGTTTGGATGCCATAGCCTTTAATGCAACGTGCAGCTTCTATTCGACGATCTGAGACGCGTCCGGTGTTTTCTGATTCCTCTCGGAAGGACTACCAATGCGTGGACATGCACCCGACCACCGATGTCTGTGTATCCTGGACCAGCCACGAGTGGAACTGTGGCGAGCATGATTTTGGCATGTGAAGCTCGGCAGCAGGTTCTGGTTGTCTTGAGGTAGCCGACAATGAGCTCCGTGAGCTTCGTTGCTTGGTGAGGTAAATGCTTTCAACTGTCGGCGAATAACCGTTACTGCGAAAAGTGGAGCTGCCACAGCCTGGAAGCCGATCAGCACATCTGCTCCTTAGCTGCGCTTCCCTACGCTGAGGCGCCTGCACGTCCCAGTTAGGACCGCCCAGCCCAAGGTCGCCACACCGAGGGGGACGATTCTGGCGAGGAGTGCTGGTACGACCCTTTCCCGATGACCTACGATGTCTACAACCAGCTCATGCGCCTCTGACAATTTCAGAGAGAGAGAGAGAGAGAAAGAGAGAGTGAGTGAGTGAGAAGATAGCCCAAGTGCAAGCAGGCAAACAAGATAGAGAGACAGACAGAGACAGAGAGAGAGAGAGAGAGTGAGAGAGAGAGAGAGAGAGAGAGAGAGAGAATCAGGGGGACCGCTCATAAAGCTTCACAACCTGCTACAGCCGAGCCCGTCCTCTGAAAATCAGGCATCAGGAATGGGGTGCTCGAAAGCGCGGGGTACAGAGATTGCCGGTGCCCCATCCTCCAAAGCAAAGCAAGCAAAAAGAAAGAGAGAGAGAGAGAGAGAGACAGAGAGAGAGAGAGAGAGAGAGAGAGAGCGATAAAGAGAGTGGTAGGCACCTAGCGGCACACAGAGAGCGGGGGTTGCTTGCCAAACATTGCCAAGGGTGCAGCAGTCCCAGGGATCGCTCACGACTGGTGAGAATGCCTTCGACAAGCCTCTCGGCCTGCATTCCCCAGCGCCCTTCGCCGAGAGCATGTCCGCCCGGGAATCGTCTCATGTAGAAGCTTTCTTCTTTGCGTCCTGCAGCTACTTTGGTTCTTAACGACCAGACTTCAGAACGAAGCGCCCCCAACCCTCTGTTCGAAGTGGTTATGGTCATCGGCTGCACGACCTCGATCTCGAGCGAAAGTGAGAAGCCACGCCTGATGAGTCAGAGTACAGAAAGCCTAACTGCGGGGATCCGCTTGTTTCATAACTGTGGCAGTTGTGAATGGCGTGCAACTTCGCTCGTTCGTGGCAATAAACCTTGAAACGAAGTTGCTGCCGGCCCAACCTGCCTCAGACTTCGGTCGACAGAAGTAGGCTCTCTCTTGCTCAAGCCGTCAAGTCATGTTTTTGCTTTCTGCCCGACCCAAACGAGTTCGTAGAATCCCGAGCAGTTGGTGGCGGCCCGCGAGCTTGTGGAACGGAGACATCGGGCGACGGCTCGAAGAGGAGAAGCTTTTCTGACGAGTGACACTCCTTGAGTCTGAATGCGTGAGTGCGTGGTGTCTCAGGAGCTCAGGAACGAAGAGGATGTCTTGCAGGATTACGTCAGTATTGTGCCCAGAAGCTCGTCTCGGGTGCACCGGACTCCTGACTCCTGTCCTTTGCACAAGGTTACTTACGCCAGCACAACGCCAGCGAGATGGCGCGGCTGGAGAAGTTTCTTGTCATGGACGGGGGCGATGAAATCTTTAGAGATGTGAGATGGTGTGCCTGGGAAGAGTCCGCTGTGGCAAGGCTTGGCGTGACGACGGAGCCACGGAGACTGGCAGGCCTCCCTCGGAACACAGCGCAATGTCGCCTTTAGCTTGCATGGGCCTTGTCTGGGGCCTAGGCACAGTCAACTGGCCTCCTGTCTTCGCGCTGCCGGGCAGATGGAGTTATGGAGGGTTCAGGCTTATGTTGCTGCTGCTATCAGGAGAGAGGTTTGTGCACGGGCCCGTATCAGCCCTCCAACGCAGTGCACCCTACCAAGAATCTAACCCATTCGTTTCCATGTCGACATTGGCGAGTTTTGATAAACAGCCGAATTCCACTCGTACCACAAGCCACGCTCCACAGCGTATGCTGCAAGCAACAGGCACAGCAGTAGCAGTCGTCGTGTCAGTCGTTCGCCCTTGTCGCGGTCGCAGTCGTAGCAACAATCATATGTAGCAACTCTTATAACCGTGAGCATGGCTAGCAGTATTGGTCATATGAATAGTCGCAGCAGGATGGCTTGCAGGCAGTCATTGCAAGTATGCTTTTCATGGGCCTTCTGACAGCAGCAGCCCAAGCCCGGAGCCACTCTTTCCCTAAGGTACAGTCCAGCAGCGCGACATATCTACTTCCGGTGGGGCGATGTCTGCGTCGTCAATGGCGACAATGCCATGTTGGCCAAGAGGAGCCGCCTGGGGGCGGTCGTCAAAGAACAGAAGCTGATACAACACTGACTTGTCTGTCGCAAGAAGTATATATACATATATATATATATATATATATATATATGTAGACACACACACACACACCTATAGTATACACACACAACCACATTGTTTTCTCTTTCTCTCTCTCTCTCTATAAAGTGCACATATAAAAATTGTGGAAACATGAGCTGTTGCCGTTGGTCCTGAACGGTGTGTCATGACATGCCTCGCCGCTTCCGGATGCCGTATAGGCCTTGATCCAAACTTTGGCGCTGGCAGGAAAACCGGGTAGTCTTTTGCAAGCTGTGCTGTCAGCTTTCATAGTGGCACCGGAGCCTGAATTTCGATCCTCGCTGCTCTGCGCGCTCCTGCTTTGACTTTTTTTTCCTTTACCTCCTCGGGCGCTGGGTGTGCTATAGGATTGGCTTCCTCCTGGGTGGCCTTCTGTACGGCGACCTCGGGCCCGAGCCTTGGGCGGACTGGGCCTGAGAACTGCGTTCAGGGATCCAGGCTGCTGGTAAGTGCTGTGCGCTGCTGCGCCTTCTTGGGCACTCTGGAAGAGGAGCAGGCACGTGCTGTGCCCCTTGCTTCTCCTTTTCTCTTTTCTTCTTCGTGGCTGTCCAGCTGCTGCTGGCTTAGTGGGCCCTTCTTCTGAGAACTTTGTCTTCTACGGGAACTTCCTGGGGAACGCGGCTGACCGGACGCTCCGGCTTCTTGGGCCGAGTTCTTCTTTGTCTTTGGGGCGAACGACGGCCCCTCCTTTGGCGGCAACTAGGCTGCTCGATCTTCTTTTGTTTGGCCGTGGCATTTTGCCACGGGGCTGCTGGAGCAATGGCCGAGGAAGACAAGTCGACGTCGGCGTGGTACAAGGTGCCGACGTGGGACGGGAGCCCAACGACATGGCGGGCTTTCCAACGTGAGATGAACTGGTGGCTCAGCTCCTTGGACGTGGAGTCGACCAAAAAGTTCAATCTGGCGGCGCGGTGGCTGCTGAGGCAAAGCGGCGTCGTTCGCCAGAGAGGCGAAGAGTTTGCACCGGAAGACCTGGTTTACCAGAAGGAGGTGAAGGCCAAGGACCCCGACGGAGTCGAGATCGTGGTGACCAAAGAGGATGCCTTTGCTGGCATAAAAAAGCTCATGAACGCTTTGGAGGGCATCAATGGCAAGTCGGCGTTGGACAGGAAGGGCGAGCTGCGAAACCAGTTTTATCTGACATTGCGGCGCTCCCCAGGCGAGCGGTCGGCTGACTTCCTTAGCCGCTTCAGGGTGCTGACTGCCGAGATGCGTGCCGAGGGCATCGACCTCCCCACGGGCGAGCTTGGCTGGTTTCTTCGGGAGAAGTTGGGCCTGGACCCGCTGAGAAAGCAGTTGCTGTAGACGGCTTTGCAGGGCCGTGAGAAGTTTGAGGACGTGGAGGCGGAAGCGCTGAGACTCTTTAAGGACCTTCATGCCTCCGACCCTGTTCCGCAAGCTTGGGGCGGAGCCGCGGGCGGGGCGTCTTCATGGAGGAGCTCCGGGGCGAGCTCATGGTCGGGACGGTCCGGGCAGAGCAGTGCTCAGCCGAACCTGGGCGGAAAAGGCGGGCCTTTTGGTGGCCGCCGACCCTTCTTCGCGAACTTCCGGGCTAAGCAACCCTATGCCGCCGAGGCCGAGGACGAGACCGTGGAGGAGACCTATGAGCCGGAAGAGGAACCGCTTCTTGCGGATGAGCCGGGGGACCCTCTTGACTTAGATGCCGTTTTGGAGACGGAAGCTGAGGCTCTGGCGGCTGAGCAAGACCCGCCTTCAAGAAGTTCGGCGTGATCGTGGCTTTGGCCGGGCTGGCGGTGGAACCGGACAGGCCGGCCGTGGGAACCAAGGGTTCAAAGAAGCATGGTGTTTGTCACGATTGCGGTTTGCCGGGACACTGGGCGGGGGACGCTGGATGCACGAGACCAGGGGCTGGACTTGCCAAGCCCAAGGGTGGCGGCCGTGGCGGCGGCTCTCCTTCTTCATCTTCGGCGCCTTCGGGATTTCCCCAAAGGCGGGTGCAGCTCGTGGAGACGCTGGCGGCAGAGACTGGACGAGGAGCCGAGAGTCAACGAGACGGCCGTGGCTAGTACTCTGGAGCATGCCTTGGAGAACATGTGTCCCCGCGAAGAAGGTCGAGTGACAAAAGGAACGTCGGTGCTCTTGACTCGGCTTGCAATAGGACCGTCTGTGGCAGAGGGTGGCTTGAGGCTACCTTTCGGCACTTCGTGAAATCCCTTGCTGGGAGGCAGTGCGGCCCCTCCTGGCCACCGAGATCGAGATCGAGAACGAGACCTTTAAGTTCGGCAATGACGGGACAAAGGCCAGTCTTGAGCGGCACCGGCTTCCCATCACAGTTGGTGACTCCGTTGTCTGTGTGTGGACCAGCGTTGTGGAGGTGCGGTCGCTCGGGCTGTTGCTCGGCAGAGACTTCCTCGAGGCCATCGGCGGTGTGATCAGCTTTACCCGGAGGGCGACCATTTAGATTGTCGCCGGATGGATTCCCTTGCACCAACTGTCGGCAGGTCACTTCTACTTGGAGCTCCTTCCGAAGACCTTCTCCGAGGACCTTGGCCGGCGGTGGACCAGACAAGGCGCCGATGGGGTTCTGGAAGTGCAGGTCAGTTGTGCTGAGTGGGCCCGCCGGAGAGTCGCAGCTGTGAAGCCGAGTGTGCATGAGCAACTTTCCTCTGAAGCTTTGTTGGTGCGTTCGCCGGGTGACCTCTCAAGATCGAAGGCGTCAGCTGGAGATTCAGTTCGATGTGCCGGTGCCGCGCCCTATGTTGCGAGGACCGGCCGAGGAGCGAGCAGTGCGAGTATGCCACCGGCTGTGTCGTATGTGCCTACGGCTCCTCGAAAGAAACCCTCACTTCGCTATGTGCCCCTGCTGTACAGCAACACACGCTCCTTGGAGGCCATGGTGAAACAAGGTGCCTTGCCCAGGCGCCATTACCGAGCAGCCCTCATGCAGCGCAAGTTCGACGACGTGGGGCTGCTGAAGGACGCTGGGTACTTGAGGGACAGGCTGGGGATCAAGTTGGCCTTCTTGGAGGACCCCCATGCTGGCGGCAAGGTACACCAAGGGCGTGAAGGCAGCGATCCAGAACCAGCTGGTCGATCGGTTGCGCAAGGAGGCTGCCGAGAAGAAGGCCAAGGGCGAAGAGCTGACGGCTGCCAGGGCCTTTTGCTGGGTCCGAAAGGTGGCTTGCCGACGCTCAAGCAAGACCTCCTCAGGTTGGTGGTTCTCCTCCATGTCGAGGTCCAGACCAACGACACCGTCGTGGGCTACCGCAGCCGGCTCCCAGACAGGCGCCGACTTCCTCGAGGGCTCCTTTGTCGACCGCCTCGGGAAGCGTGGCCCCTCTGTACCTGGACTTCCGCCGGCCGCTCAAGGAGATTCGCAGGCGGGCTGGACAGCAAGATCAACCGGAAGTTCGGACAGCCGGCCCGATGGCGATGGACCCGGCGAGGGACGAAGCGCTGCTGCAGCAAATGCAAGGGATGATCGAGGCCCAGGACCAGCGCATGACCGCAATGGAGCACATGATGGCGATGGCCGGCCACCAGCATCATGGGGAGACTCCCCTGTCGCCACCGGACAGTGACATGGGCTTTCAGACTGTCGAAGACGCCCTGTGATTGCTCCCTTGCGGCAGCAGGTCTTGCCCGGGGCAGCGCCTCTCGATCACTGAGGCCTGGCACAAAGGGCGCCGAGACCGGGCACATGTGAAAGCCAGTGCTCAGGTGACTGTTGCCGAGGACTGCAGGACCGAGCGCTGACGGCGCCTTTCGTGGCGCCTTCCTTGGAATGGCCGCTTCCTCTTCGGAGCGGCGTGTGTGACGAGGTGGTTCGAGCAGCGCAAGCCAAGGGCCATGCCGTGAAGTTGCTGCCGAACCGGGACCGCCCCTACTTTCTACTTCTTCGTGCTGCTGGGCCGTCCCCTTTCCTCAACCTACGCCCGACGGCCAGACCCGCCGCTGAAAAGAAAACTTTGGATGCCACGGCAAAGGTCATCCAGCAGGCCTTGGCACACCGGCGGTCTGGCCGGCACTTTCTTTTGGAACTTTTCCCGGCGCTGATCCGCGGCACACGCCCGAGGCCCGAGGGCCAGGAGCTGAAGGACGAGCCCGGTTTCTGCTCAAAGGGTGCCGCTACATGACGTCAAGTCCCTGGTCGCCCAAGCCTTCCGTGCGGGAAACAATGCTTTGCAGGGCACGGCCGTGCTGAAGCAGCAGTTCGAGGCGGACCGCCGCACGGGGAACGTGACTGCGGGTCGGACTCTGAAGACGGAGCCGTGACGACCGAGGTGGCGAAGGAAGTGCCGGTGTCGGCGGCTGTGAGGCAGGCGGTGCGCCGGCTGCACGAAAACACGGGCCACCGTAGCCCCAAAAGGCTGGCGCGGGCTCTTGTTATTGCAGGTGCCCCTCTTGAGGCAGTGATAGCGGCCAAGCAGCTGAGGTGCAGTGTGTGTGAGGAGAAGCGGCCGCCGAAAACACAACGGCCGGCATCCCTTCCTGCTCCTCAGGAGCCGGGCGACCAGATCGCCCTTGACATTTTCGACTCCTTCGACGTTGCCGGGGGCCGGTATGGGATCCTTCATGCGGTTGATGCGGTGACTCGGTTCCAGATGGCTGTGCTGGTGGAACACAAGTCGAGTGCTGAAGTGATCCGGTTCCTGAAGGAGCGTTGGGCACCGGTGTTTGGAACCCCCCGGACCATTGTGATGGACCAGGGCCGGGAGTTTGCCAGCCACGAGGTGGAACAATATGCCGCGGAGAACAATGTGTTTCTGCACTTCATTGCGGTGCAGGCTCCCTGGCAGAATGGGCTGTGCGAGCGTGTTGGCGGAATAGTGAAGACGGTGCTGGCGGCAGCGACTGCATCACAGTCTAATGGGCGAAGAGGAGATGAAGACCGGCTTGGCGGAAGCACTGCTGGCCTACAACATGGATGTCGGCGACAGCGGCTTTTCTCCGATGCAGGCGGCCGTCGGGAGGCAACCTTTACCTCCTGCGGACGCGCTTGGCAACGGGCGTGCTCCAGAGCGAGGCCGCCACCGTTGGCACCATCCTGCGAGCCAACGCCCTTGTGAAGGAGTTCAAGGCCACGAGTGAGTTTGCGTTGAAATTCCGGCCGATGGACCTGGAGGGCGCGGGCATCGTGGTAGTTTCGGATGCCAGCCTTAGCAATGTCACCAAGGAGGGCTTCGTTGGCGAAAAGCCCTTGGAGAGGGTCTACTCTCAAAGCTGCTACTGCGTCTTGCTGAACGAGAAGATCGAAGCTGCTTGGAGGCTCGGCCCGGAAGTTCACTAATTTGCTTGACTACAGGAGCCACCGGCTTCAGCGAGTGTGCCGTTCGACCTTTGCGGCCGAGCTGCTGGGGGTCGAGGAGGCCTTCGACGTCGGCCAGTACTGTCGTGGGCATTGGGCCGAAGTGCTTGGCTATGACCTCTCCTTCAAGAATGCCGACAAGCTCCTGGACATCGTCGGCCTAGTCGTGGGTGACGGACGCCAAGGACACCTTCGACAAGACCAACAGCGACACGCCGTCATATGGTTCTCAGAAGTCACTGGCTTTCACCATTGCCTGGCTTCGGGGAATGGTGGCTAAGGCCAACGTGAGCCTGAAGTGGACGGCGACCTCCAACATGTTTGTGGACGCCGGGACCAAGGACATGCCCCAGGACCACATGAGGCAGGGAATGGAGCTACTGCTATGACGAGAAGTATGTGAAGCAAACGATTAAGCCCAAGAAGCTTGCGCGAGAAGGGCCTGAAGTTCTGACGGGTCCCAGAGTGATCCCATGATAGGCTTTCTTCAAGGGCTGTGCACTCAGCCGGGCTGGCACAGAAGTTGCCTTTCGTGCTAAAAGCTTTCGGCGTCCTGAGCCGAGGTTCGAGGCAGCGAAGTACCCGCTGCGAACCACATTCGCCTTGTACCACGACCAAAATGGTCGCGGGGCCTGGAGGCTCCTTGAGAAGGATGCCTCGTACGGGCGCCAACTGAAGGCCTTAGATCGCGAGGCGGCTGTTCTGGTGACACTGTTTCGGACCAACAAAGAGAAGGAAACCAATGTGGAAACATGAGCTGTTGCCGTTGGTCCTGAACAGTGTGTCATGACATGCCTCGCCGCTTCCGGATGCCGTATAGGCCTTGATCCAAGCTTTGGCGCTGGCAGGAAAACCGGGTAGTCTTTTGCAAGCTGTGCTGTCAGCTTTCACAAAAATGCTCATGTGTATCTACATATATGCCTATATACATGTATAAGAGTATGTGGGTATATGTCCATACGCCTATATGTATTTTGTATGTATGTATACATGTATATGGTGCACATGTACATATGTGCATATGTACATATGTATACTTGTAAATATGTATATATGTATCTATGTATATATGTAACTGTGAAGCTGTATCTATGTATCTATTTGTCTATGTATACATGTACATATGTATATACGTATATATGTACATGTGTATATGTGTATATGTGTATATATGTATATATGTATATATGTATATGTGTATATGTGTATATGTGTATATGTGTATATGTGTATATGTGTATATATGTATATATGTACATATGTATATATGTATATATGTATATATGTATATATGTATATATGTGTTTATGTACATATGTATTTATGTATGTATATATGTATATATGTATATATGTATATATGTATGTATGTATATATGTATATATGTATATATGTATATATGTAGATATGTATATATGTATATATGTATATATGTATGTATGCGTATGTACGTATGTATACATGTATACATGTACAAATGTATATATGTATGCATGTATACATGCACGTATGTATGTATATATATATATATATATATATTGCATCTTATGCGCATGGCGCCCTGCACCAACGCCACAGGTGATGGAGGTCCTAGCATGCTCTGTGGGATGCGGAGACAACCGTATTTTCTGAGTGCGTTGCTGATCAATCCGTTGCGTGAGTGCCATTCCATTTTCTATTTCCTCAGCGCTTTGCTTCAGTGGGGTATTGCTTTAGCTCTGAGGGGACCAGATATACCAGGTCCTTGAATGAGAGCGACTTTCCTGACTATGATGATTTGATCACGAATTGGACTGAGCATGTCATGGGAGAGCCACCGCATTATCTTTCGCAGTCTGGAGCCGTGAGCGTGCATCCGGAACCCAGCTTCCCCGTTGTGCTTAACGTGGAGGCCCCGTGCCTTGGAACGCCGACCTCTTAAGTGGAGCAGTTTTCAAAGGATTGCTTATGCAAGGGTCAGGTCACCTTTGCGGATTTTGCCCACATTGTGCTTCCTCTTAAGTCTCGTCAACTGTCCAGTAAGCGGGCTAGAGAACATGCCGCGAACAGCCACTCTTCTGTCGTCTTTCAGATTGGTGCCTGGGTCTTTGGCGGCGAGGCTGGGGCGATGAACGACATCTTTCAATATCCTTGGCTATCCCACCTGCTTGCTGCGATCGTGTCGATGCACTGCCCTGGCCACTGCTTCAGCAATGTCATTATCTGTCACAATATGTGTGCATCAGTTCACAAAGACTGCAACAACCATCATCGGGTACAGAGTATTGTCCTACCTGCTTCGCGTTTTGGTGAGCTCTGCCTGAAACCGGTGGCCTGGCCGTACCGTCACTTCAACTCGAGACTTCCCCATGCTACCTCTGCGTGGCAGGGAGACAGAACAGTGTTGCTGGTGTACCATGTTCGTGACGGATGGCAGACGCTGCGCTGCTCATTCGGCAGGGATTTGCTTTCTGGGCAGGAGGCGCGATTACAGACCCGTATATGGATTAGTGTCGTACAAGACTTTTTGTGACCCCGAAGCGGCGCACGGCCGACTTGAGCTTTCCAAGCTCGCTAGTGTTTGATGTGGAATGCCGAGCATTGTGGCTTCGGTCGCCGGGCAACTGCCTGCCACTCCCCGCATAGTGTGTGCGGATGCTGCGTAGTCAAAGTCAACAAATGTGCATGTACACACGTATATTTGTGTATACACGTGTATTTGCATATATGTATTATATGCATAGTTATGTACAAGCGTATATATCTCTACACTTACATATGTGTACAATTATTTGTATGTGCATATGTGTGCATATATGTGCAACCGGATATACATTTATACATGTGTATATATATATATATGCGTGTGTACATATACATATGTATGCCTGTATATACATACATATGTATATTAGTCTGTTTAGATGTAGATGCACACATGTGTGTATGTTTATATAAATACTTGTATACGTATTTACTTTTATATATACACATATATATATATATATATATATAAACATATAAGTTGAACACGAAGTAAACCCGTCGTGTTACAAGAACAAGCAAAAGCAAGCACTCACAGCACTTCTTTTACTTGAGCCAAATCATGTTCGTGTTCGTCGTTCAAGCTGCTCTTCATCTACCTCTAGTAGTACGCTCTTAGCTAGATCATGCAAGGGCCTGGGGCTCGAGTACTGTTAACTCCCCCCTTGAAGACAGCGTGAAACGCTAGCTACACTGAACTCTGTTACGCAGACTACCTACTTGGTGGAACTACCACTTCAATCAAAAGTGGAATCCAAGCTCCCTGAGCTTCAGCTGGCTTTCGACTGGCAGCCTACTCACATTTCTAGGGGTGAAGGCAACTACGACGATTCTATTGCCCTTTGTGCAAGGAGTCGTCGCGTGTAACCGTCTTGGATCGAAGACTGCTGGCCATTTAAGGATATCGCCCCTCTCTCCTCGACTGAGGTCTGGGCAAGGGTAGTCACCGCTTTGTGACTGGACCCATACGTGGCCCCCCTCGAATACTTCGAGTGGGATTACAGCATTCTTGCTGCATGGCTCGTTGTAAGAATCCTTATGAGTCAAGGTGATTTGATTCTTGGCCAACATCACTGCAGTAAACTTATGCTTAGGCAACACCCTACGGATGAACCTGCACAAAACCGCAGTGACTACAGGGAAGAGGGTTACATTTTGCCTTAAACCTGCGATCCCACCCCCGTGCGCGAACGCACCGGTGGTGAAGCACATTGCCTCACTTGCAGAGGGGCGCACAGCGCTCTCCCCTGGCAAATACGACAAAAGCTGCACAAGGTCCTCTTGTGTGATCTTCCTAGGCAGTGAGCTTGCAAAGCGTTCTGCTTCCTCGACTACGACCTTTGAGACGGTCGCGTGGTGAGGGACGCCTTCACTCAGACACAACTGTGTGAGCATGTCAGACCACTCAGCAGGAGGGATGATCTTAGTCAATCCATTAGCTAATTGATCCTTGCTGTTCACGTAGGTAGCTGAAAAATCTTCTTGCTCAAAGATCTCTGCCATACTTGCCACGTTCACGCGGTGCACGCGCCCCAAGTGGCGAAGTTTTGGGCTGTATCCTGACTTCAGGATGGCCAAGACAGTTTCATTGTCTTGAAAGAAGATGATTGGCACTGTGCTTTTGAAGGCTGACTGTAAGAACGTCTGCAAGTTTATGATCTCTGAAAACATGGCTGATGCCATTGAGATCATTTGCGCCTCTGGCGTCGATATCGCAACCGACGTTTGCTTGCGACTTTGCCACATCACAGGGAATGCGTGTTGACCCGTGCCTATATGGACTACGATCCCGGACGTGCTACGTGAAGTGTAGGGACAAGCTGCGAAATCGGCATCTGTATACACTCGCAGCTCGGGAGCGGCATCCCAAGAGCAACTGGCATTCATGCAAACATCTCTGGTGTGATGAATGTATGACACAAGTCTAAGTACTTGTCGGTCCTCCCAGGCAGTCCACCGAGTGACACTGGAAGCTAGGCGAGTTACCGCAAACGAAATGTCAGCTCTGCAAAGACGAGCTAACCACAAACAGCGCATCAAGATGCGTGATGCTGAATCGTGGAGCTCGCCGGGTGCTGAGATCTCTTCGTCGGTCATTGCTGATTCAGCGATGCAAGGCGTAGTCACTCGACGAAGCTTGTCGGGAGTTGTCCCGGTGATCTCGCAATAGGTTTGGACGATCTGCTCAGCATACTCAGGCATCTTAAAAGCCATTGTGGTTGACGACGGGTCGTCGTACCGACAATGCAGTCTACCTAAGATCCGAACACCCTCGGAACCTATAAAACATTCGGGATCAAGCTTGACTTTTGCCCTCAACGCTTGCCAAAATGGCGTGTGCAATTTTGTTAATCCGCACAAGCTCAAATCATCGACGTAAATGTTTAAGATGAGAACCCCATTCTTGTACTCAAAGAACCAGTTGCTTGGAAACTCCTGGGACTCCTTTCCGCCTAATGAGATCAAAATCCTAGACAAATACTTTTGCCAGAGCCGTCCGGCCTGTGGATGGCCGTACAAGCTCTTGCGAAGTCGAACGACTAGCTCCCTTGGTAGGATTACGTATGTCTCTTCTTTAAGCTCTGATTGGAGGTATGCTTGGATTGCGTCAGAGCAGGACACAGAGTGCTCTGGTAAGCAACCCCAGAAGAGGGAGGCGTTCAAGGCTATTAACCCCGTTGGAGTCGTACTGGTCTCTTCGAAGAAAACCAGATTGTTGAACTCATCCAAAACCCTATCCCCTCTATAAACAATCCTCCCTTTGAACTCTTGAAATTCAGGTGCAAGTTCGGCATGCTTTACCCCGCACAAGGTCATCAGTTCCGCTACGCGAAGCTTGCGTCCCTGAGACCTGGCCTGACTTCTTAGCTCATGCAATGGCATGGCTGTTGTGTCATCCCATGTGCCGTTTCGGCGCAATCCCTCTGCTTCTTGCGCGATGGCTTCAAGCGCCTTCGGCTCAGCTTGCCATTCTCGGCGGGAGAGATTTTTGGTGACAAGCGCGCTCGCTTTACCAAGATTGGGGACACTTTTGAAGTACCTCTGGGGAAACAAGGATTGTATCACGAGATCTGCAAACTCATACGCTTTGATGTTGGTTGCATTGATCCCTGATGACTCCGTTGTTGACACCTTTGCGAAGTGCTCCAGTACTCGCTTGGAGTTTGAAGCGATAGTGACGGCTTTGTTGCCGCTAACACAGGCTACACTGGAAAGCTCGTGTTTCGAGGCGA